GGTAGAAGGAGCCTTAGACTAGATATCATTGTAAGGGGCAGAGCAAAGAACCTTCTACCCTGCTGACATTTTGATACTTGCAAACACCAAGTCAAATCGAGGGCAGAAGTGAGATCAGGAGCTGAAAAGTAGGGAGTACAATCAATTTGTCAATTCTTGTCATTCGCAGTAGTTATATTCTATAAATTCATCATGCATACTGAATTAGTAAATACTGAGCCATAGCTTCTAGGGAAAGCACAGGGTTTGGTTTCTTTGGAGAGAGAGAGAGAGAGAGAGAGAGAGAGAGAGGGAGAGAGAGAGAGAGAAGAGAGAGAGAGAGAGAGAGAGAGAGAGAGAGAGAGAAGGGGAGAGAGAAAGAGTTGTTTTTCAATTACTTCTGGCTGCTATAATAAAATATTACAGATTGGGTAGTTTAAAACAATAGAAAATAATTTATCACAGTTCTAAAGGCTAGAAGTCCAAAATCAAGGTGTCCATATGGTCCTCTGGTTGTACACTTCTCCTTACATTTTTACTTGGTGGGAGGAGAGGGGCTAGGGAGCTCTATGGAATCTCTTTATTTTTAGAATAGCACTAATCTTATTTATGAAGATTTCACCCTCATGCTTTAAGCACCCACAAAGGCCCCCACCTCCTGATACTATCACATTAAACAAAAGATTTCAACATATGGATTTGCAGGGATACAAACATTCAAATAATAGCATCTTGAGTCATTAACATTGAACTCATGGCCAAGGGCACTAAACTGAGGCCCAAATGAATCTTATCTAGCACATGTACTTTCTCAGTAAGAGGCATCACAGCCTGCTTGTGTATGGGAAGATGGATAGCACTTCAGCAGTACACTTGGAGGCCATTTCACACAGTGAAATCACCAACAAAAGGCACAAAAAATGCAAAAGGACACTACAGAGGCTGCAAAAAGGAAACATTTACAATATGAGAGCTGAAATAAGAATGCAGAGCATAGATTTGATCTTATCAGGGAGTATTGTCTTTTGGTAACTCAAATTTTTCAGTTCTGCACATTTCTGTGAATGATCATGAAAGCTTCTCTAGTGTTGAGTTTACAGTTACAAATAAATTTTAAGGGGTATGTGAATTTGCAAACACAGAATCAGTAAATAAGATGGATCAACTCTTAAGTGTTTGTTGATTTTCACAGGTCCTTCTCACACAGTCTCATAAATCATATTCCTGAAAGCGGATATTCGTACTTATGCCCCCCACCCCCCAAAAGTAGAATTCTCTTTGGAAGACCCAAGTGGAGTTTCTGGGGTAAAATGGGCAACTATTCTTGGCATTATCATCCTAGAACAAGGACCTCATACAAACACATACAAAATCTAGTACTACCTCCAATTGAATGGCAATGTCCCATTTGCTCAATCTTTAGAGATGCCTGCCTTTTGAGCTCCATGCTGCTTGCTTTTTGAATGAATTGTTGGTAGTACTGAAGGGGTCAAGCTATTCCCTACATGGCGAAATGCTTCTAGAAGGCATGAGATGAGTTTGAGAACAGCTAATTGAGAAACAGGAACCACTATATATGTCAGAGGACAGTATGGCCAGCTTAGGATGGGGAAGGTTTCACATTCATTCTGGCATTCCTACTTCACTGCTCGAGCCTGTAGAATAAATTTAGTCCACAATTTGGACACATAAAATCAGTGATTGTGAAAGACTAGTGAGTGGAGAAAAATGGTGGCTGGGTAGAGGAAGGGAGAGGAATCTCTCAGGAAAACCACAAACATGGATTTCATGTGTTTGAGAACAAAGATAGAAATAGGTTATTACAAGAATCAACGTTCAGAATCAAGGATAGAGGGCCGTGGTCACAATACCAGTCAAGATCATATTAGCTGAAATTATCAAAATACAAAGATGTTCAAATACAATTACTTGAATAAAGTCTGGACTCATTTTATCAATCTTGAAACAGCAATTTTTGGTTATTGGTCATGGGCAGCCCTTCTCTGATAGAGCTTCATGAGGTCTAACATTCTGGGTTCCAGCCTCATCAATTAATCCCTCTCCGGTTGCCTTATTAAGACCTGTGCAAAAGAGCTTCAGTTTTTTTCTCCCCAAAATGAATCAACTTTTCCTGTTTCTGATATTCAACTTTAAAAACATTATCTATAATTTATTTTTACTTTTATCACCAAACTTCTCAAGTAGTCAACATATCAAATTCTGTTAATTCCCTCCATGACCCTTTGCAATCTCTCTCTATTATCTGCCATTCTTAGGAACCTTTGGCTCCTCAATACAAATATCTTTTTGTGAGTTTCCATTCTAAAATGCTTAACTCTAATAACTACACTACACTTTGTTCTAGTTACTTCAAACCAATGACATATCATTATCTGGGTCCCCCCCCACCCGCACCTTTAAAATTTATTAAAAATATTTTTTATTGGTTTCAGAAAGAAAGGGAGAGGGAGAAAGAGATAGAAATATCAATGATAACAGAGAACCAGTGATCAGCTGCCTTCTGCACGACCCCTCCTGGGGATAGAGCCTGCAATCAGGGCATGTGCCCCACACCAGGTATCGAACTGTGACCTCCTATTTCATAGGTCAACACTCAACCACTGACCCACACTGGCCAGGCTCCCCCTACCTTTTAGACTATCATTTACCCCTTCCCTACATAGTTTTTTACACTTCGCAAAATTAGTAGAGCTTCCCTGAGATATCATTCATAGCTCTTTCGAGTTTATTCTTTATAAATTCCCCTTCAGAGATTTATTCCACATGCAAGTGTTTAAAGGCACTCTGTGCCGAGAAATCTCTCATCTGTAGACTTTTCTATTATCCCAGCTCTTTCTGGCTATTTTCATCGCACTTTTTGGTTAATGTTCACTGTTTTCCTTTTGTCACCACACGTCCACCACTCAACACAGAAATCTGTCTTCTTTCCTAACTCACAAATGAACTTGTTATTGCTAAATAACTACACTTCTGGGTTTTTCATCTAATACACTTTCAGCCCTTTTTTTTACTGGACAATTCGTCAGCAATATCACATTGACATTATTTTCTCCTTTGCTTTGTACAACATTTTTCTTTCGCACTTTTTTTCTACTTTGCTTTCCCCCTACTGCTTAGGTTTTTCTTGGTTTCCTCTGCTAGATCTTATTTCCCTGCCTGTGCCTGGTCTTCAGTTGTGCCCTTCCCCTTACCTGACCTACTGTTTCTTTACACATGACAGTGCTTTAAATATATATGTCTGTCTTAGGACCTGACCTCTCTTCAGCATTTGAATCATGTATCCAAATATTTACTGCATATATATTTACTTGAACATGAGGGAAAACTCTGAGGATTAAATAACATATTCAACATGGCCAACGTAGACTTCTTCACCTCCCCAGGCCTGCTCTTCCTCAAATGTTGCCCCATCTCTATCTAGTTGCTTCCCCACCTTCGTAAAAGGCTCCATCCCCTCTTTTCTAGGGCATATCTTAGGATATCTCATTAATCCATATTAATATATTTCGGTCAATATATTATTCCCATTTTATTGATGACAAAACTGAGGCTCAGAAATGTTAAGTAATTTGCCAATACAACATCACCAGAAAGTGGCTGAGATAGGCTGGAATTTATCTATTACATCCCACATTTATTTTATGAATTTCTACTCCAGACACTAAGTCCAGTTCAAATGTGCCTTCTTAATGAAGTCCTCTCTGATCACCCCAGCCAAAAATGACCACAGAAGCTTCAACCTGATTTATTTAATTTTAAGATTCCAAGTTATATTACATGTCGTTGTGTATTTCTCTTCAAACTTATAGCAGACTTTGTGTTTCTTAAAGGAAAGAACCAACTCCTGTCAAATGGGAAATATTCTTTCTATTGTGGAAAAGTCTAGTTGTTCAATTTGCAAGACTAGAAAAAGCTTAAAGTTCTGTATTTATCCTTAAGCTGCACAACGAATTTCTCTATTAAAATTAAAAAAGACAGTATTGATATTTTCCAAAAAGTTTTATTCTTCTTAGTGATTTATATTCTGCTTCAGTTCCTTGGTACCAATTATATAGAGTGTCATAGAACTTCTAACACATTCTTAATTTGGATTATTGACACCAGTGCTTTTGGATTTAAAGAAAGCATAATAGAGAAGTGAGAAAAAGTATTAGTCAAATAATGTCACCCAAATAAAAAACACTAATAATAAAACCCATGTGAAAGTATGTAATGTCATGGCCCTATCTAGCACTATATAAAACCAAAAACTTGAAGCAAGGCAAAAATGACTTGACAATAATCCTTTGTAAGGCAATAGCAAGCATTTTAGAACACAGAGATATTACATCAATCAATAAAAAGCCTTAATTGTATTTTGACAAAGTTTCTAAGCTTCCAGCCAAATGAACAGATACAATAAAATTTTTGAGGATGCAGCATCATAAAGTGTATAGTGGTCATTACTTTGCAGTTTCAGACAGTGTTAATTATTTGTCTTAGCACAGAGTTCACAGAGCAGAGGTAAATTTGCTATATGTTTTTGTAAAAGTAATCATGGCCAGGCAACAAAAGCCTGATTCAAGTAAATCTTTTCTCAGAAGTAAAATTTTAACTTGCAAAAGAATCTAAGGATTAGTTAGAGAACTTTGCACTTTTGAATTCATTCTTGAATTTATTAGATTCATTCAGATCAATGGCACTTTTACACCCATCAGATTTCTTAAAACCATCCTGGATCTGTGCCTAAATATATATATATATATATATATATATATATATATATATATATATATATATATATATATATATATATATATATATATATAAATGCAAACATTCTCAGCAATTAACTGGACAGTACCGGGTAAATGCAATGAGCTGGGAATTCACTGTGCTAACCTCCATTAGTGCTGATGAGAGTTGTGTACTTAATTCCCTCTCGCTGCTCTTAACTTTCAACTTCTCTGTGGGATCTATTCCAATACATTTAATTTTAACACCCTGATGAGTTTTCTTACCTCAGTAATGAAGGATTTGGCTGTGGCGGGATTCATAATGAGGATGGCTCTCCTAAGAGTGTCTCGATAGCGATTCAGTTCCTCGATTCTCATGGTATCAAAGAGAGTGGTGATCATTTTATTGATGTTGTTTTCTACCTTTTGAAGTGCAACATCCATCCCCTGCTGAGATACTCTGTCCAGAAACTCTTGTATTCCACGGATATCTAGGAACAGCAAAATCCCATCACAGTGGGAATTAGAGCACAGAAGGGAGACAAGAACTGTTTCATTCATAGCAGAGTTGTTTATTGTCCAACATGGTAGGCTGGCTGTCTAAAACTGCTAACCGCGAAGCAGGTGCAACTCTCAAATATGTTTAAGATTTAGCATGATTTACTGTGTTTAAGTAACAAATGTAGAGATTATTATTTTTAAAGTGAATTTCTTTTTCTTCACTGGGCAGTCTAAACTATCTTACCTGTGGAAAATGTTAGGCTAGGATCCCCTCACTTCCCTAATGCAGTTGTCAGATAAGGAAAGTACACTTGTGATTTTTCCTCAGGTAAAACATGAATAGCATTGATGAATGAATCGGAATCGAGATTGCTAACATTTATTAAAATAAGGCAACCATATCACTAAACTTGACATTTACCATCTAAATGGAAAGAGAGTTTTGAGAGGTTATCTTCAAAGTGTCACAGGTCACTTAGACCACAAATAAAATAGCTTCATTTTTGTCTATTTTATGAGAACCACCTCCTTAGCTCAAATTTGACAAACAGGGTAGGAGATAGTTTTCTTATCAGGAGTATAAGGATTATACTTTGTATATAAAACAAAATTTGTGTGAAAACAAAATATTCACACACCCATTAAGGAAAAAATAAGTTCTGAAAGATTATCAGAAAAAAATTATGTCCAATTTACTTTTAAATAAAGAGGATGAAATCAAGTCTAAATAAAGTGTTTGTAGATTTATTCCTGGATGTATATTCTAGTATCAAGAAATGTCTGAAATGTTACCAATATTTCTTCCTAGTACCACATTGGGTGTTTATAGAAGGGATTTGAACATTGATAAGTATAATTGGAAAACATGTGAGAATATTAACTTAATATAGAAGATTTTCTTTACTATATAATAAACTACATGTTTTCTGCATATGTTCATGCCATACAATGTTTTAAAGGAGAAAACTAGTTAAGGATAAGAAGTAAATGAGGTTGTGTCATTGTCAATGGACTATATAAAAATTCTTAATTGTACATGATTGCATGCATGCAAAATTTGTCTCTCAAGAGAAAGAATTAGTTCATGTGTTTTTTAAGACATTAACAATTAAAAGCAATATATAAACCTATAGAGCAAGAAAACAAAGTCACAAACTTTGAAATTGACATTTACTCATAACAAAATTTATACTTACAAGGTTACAAATTAATTTTAAAATTTTGCTTCCTTATTAGTTTTATTTTAAAATAATTACTGATATAGAATAGATAACTATATAAATGCTACCTTATATTCCTTATTCCTAATTATATTATAAACCCAGGATGGCAGAATCATAGCAGCTTAAAAGAACCAAGCCTCATGTAGAGCAGAACAAGAGATAAAAGTGAGGGGATAATAAATGTATTATGTACTCATTAAATATCCAAGTCTGAAAGTACCTAAGGGGGTAAGATATTCAGGAGTGGATTAGACAAAGGGTTAGATCTGATGCAATTTCACAGATGTGGTAGACATGTAACAGGACTATGCACACTAAAGGAGATGTTCCCAAATGTTGGTGTGAATCAGAATCACTTAGAAATCTTATAAAAAATAAAATAAAAATAAAGCCCAGAACCAATATGCCTTTAAAATACACATCCAGCAGATCTTTGATTTTGAATTTTAAGTTGTTGTTTCATTTCATTTTTTTAGTTTGAATCACTTCTATGTGAATCTAAATATAAAAAGGGGACATCTGTAATACGTTTAACAGTAAAGATAAATTAAAAAAAAGTAAATATAAAACAAAATCAAAAATACATTGAAATAAGTAAAGATGCTCAGAAAACACTGTGTGACCAGAGCATAGGCTCCAGATCTGCATGCTCTAGGAAATGCTCTGTTCACAGAAATAATATATCAATGCAATTTCATATCTTAACTTTAATGCTCCAAAAATATTTATTGAATACGGGACAGGATGTTGTATACAAGGAGTACAACAGTGAATACTCTTCTCCACACTGAGGCAGACAATAAACAAGTAAACAACAAATACATACAAACCACATCAGTGCTTAAAGGAAACAGGAAGGGTATCCTGGGAGATAATGCCAGGCGGGGAGGGGGATCTATTTTAGTTAGAATATTCAAGGGAAGTTCTCTGGAAAACTGGCTTTTAAACTGTTCTAAAGGATGAGAAGACATTACCTACACAGAGAGATAGGAAGTGAAGACAACAGCTTGGAGAACATGCCTGAGGGCAGCAAAGAGCTAGTGTTTGAAGTTGAAGGATTCCAGTGTGGTGCAGCCCAGTCAGTAAGGAGGGCAGAGGTAGGTGAAGCTCCTTGTAGAGTGTGGGTCACATTATGTGCCCCCTGGTGAGACGCAGAGAGGTTTTGCTTTTATTCTAAATATGGTTTTTATCTATTGAAAAATTTAAGTAGAGGTTCTAAGTGGATGACAGGCTGTGTGTTCAGTATGAAAAGCAGTTTAAGTCTGAGAGTGACTTGTTAAGATAGTCTGATTCAAACGGAGTTTGTAAATGATATCCCCTCGATTTAAAACATTCTGACAGATTTTAGCTTTTAGTTTTTAACAGAAGGTAAGTTTTATATGTATAGTTATTGGGCCAGAAAAGTGATGTGATAAAATATTGTTAGTATCCCTCTGCTTCCTTATTCTGGAATTATGGTTATCATTGCCTAATGCATGTGATTCTAAAAAAACAAAAAAAATTAAAATCTCTTTTTTTGTCCTTTTTATGAGTTTATTGGGCTGACAGGGATTAAAAAGTATACAATTTTCAGGTGCACAATTCTACAACACATCATCTGTATACTGTATTGTGTGTTCACCACCCAAGTCAAGTCCCTAGCACCATTTATCCCACCTAGACCCTCCTCAATCTCCATTCACCCTCCAACCCCTGGCAATCACCATAAAACATTTCTGATCTCTAAATAAAGAAATATTTATTTCATAGATGTCTTATAAGATTAGATTAGTGAGGGCATGAGTGTGTACTTGTGTATGCCTATCAATCACATGGCAGTTGCTATTATCTTATCTAATAAAAGAGAAACATGGTAATTAGCGGACGACCGCTACCCTTCCCATTGGCTAATCAGGGCGATATGCAAATTAACTGCCAGCCAAGATGGCGGCCGGCAGCCAGGCAGCTTGTAACTAACATGAGGCTTGCTTGCTTCAGTGACGGAGGAAACCAACGTTCCCCGCCTGCCTTGCCGGCCTCTGAGCCTACAGTTTGAAACATTGTAACAAATATAGAAGCTAAACAAAACCCCAGAAACCTGCTTTCAGCGAGCCGGGATCTCAGAGCTGGAGTTATACATTGTTTCGATTATAAACCCAAACAAACCAGATACCCGCTTTCAGCAGCAGAGGCCTCAGAGCTGGAGCCAGAGCTAAAGCTGGTCCAGAATAAAAAAGGAAAAAAAGGAGCAGTTGGGAGCTTCAGCCCTCAGCCCCTCACCCAGACTGGCCAGGCACCCCAGTGGGGACCGCCACCCTGAAGGGTGTGTACCAGCTGCAAACAGCCATCATCCCCTCACCCAGGCTGGCCAGGCACCCCAGTGGGGACCCCTACCCTGATCCAGGACACCCTTCAGGGCAAACCAGCCAGCCCCACCCATGCACCAGGCCTCTATCCTATACAGTAAAAGGGTAATATGCCTCCCAGCACCGGGATCAGCGTGACAGGGGGCAGCGCCCAAACCCCCTGATCGCCCTGTGGTTCTGTGTGTGACAGGAGGCGGGGCCACAACCTCCCTATCCACCCTGCTCTATTCGTGACAGGGGAAGGCACCCCAACCTCCTGATCAGCCCTGCTCTGTGCCTGATACGGGGGAGCTCCCCAACCCCCTGATCGCCCTGCGGCTCTGTGTGTGACAAGGTGCGGCGCCCCAACCCCCTGATCGGCCCTGCTCTGTGACAGGGTGCGGCGCCCCAACCCCCCGCCCCCCCCCCCATGGGCCCTGATCTGTGTGTGACAGGGTAGAGCCATAACCTCCCCATCAGCCCTGCCCTGAGTGTGAGAGTGGCGGAGCCCCAACCCCTGATCGGCCCTGCTCTGTGGGTGATAGAGGGTGGCACCCCCACCCCCCCACCCCAAGGGCCCTGCTCTGTGTGTGATGGGGTAGAGGCATAACCTCCCCATTGGCCCTGCCCTGAGTGTGACAGTGGCGGCACCCCAACCCCCTGATCGGCCCTGCTCTGTGTGTGACATGGGGCGGTGCCCCAACTCCCCTATTGGCCCTACTCTGTGAGTGACAGGGGGGAGCTCCTCAACCCCCTAATGGGCCCTGCTCTGTGCGTGACAGGGGGGAGCTCCCCAACCCCCTGATGGGCCCTGCTCTGTGCGTGACAGGGGGGAGCTCCCCAACCCCCTGATCAAACCTGATCTGTACATGACAGGCAAGGAGCCCCAACCCCCCTGATGGTCCCTGCTCTGTGCATGACAGGGGGCAGCGTCCCAACCCCCAGATTGGCCCTGCTGTGTGCGTGACTGGGGGTGGCGCCGCTACCTCCCCATCGACCCTGACTTGAGTGTGACAGGGGGCGGTGCTCCAACCCCCCAATCGGCCCTACCCTGAGCATGACTGAGGGTGGCATCGCAACCTCCCAATCTGCCCTGCTCTGTGCATGACAGGGGAAGGCGCCCCAACTCCCCAATCTGCCCTGCTCTGAGCCCAACCAGGGGCTGCACCCAGGAGCAGGCCTAAGCCAGCAGGGCGTTATCTCCTGAGGAGTCCCAGACTGCGAGAGGGCACAGGCCAGGCTGAGGGACCCCCCTTCCCCCTGAGTGCACAAATTTTTGTGCACCAGGCCTCTAGTCCTATATAATAAAAGGGTAATATGAAAATTGACCCTAACAGCAGAACAACTGATTGCTATGATGCACACTGACCACCATGGGGCAGACACTCAGTGCAGGAGCTGCCCCCCCCCCCCCAGGTGGTCAGTGAGTTTCCACAGGGGGAG